AGCATTGGGCTATGCTCAAGCGTGTTCTGCGGTATGTAAAAGGAACTCTGCACTTTGGTCTTTTTATTCGTCCTTCCTCCTCTGTTGCGGTTCATGCCTTTTCGGATTCGGACTGGGCTGGTGATCCAGCTGACAGGAAGTCTACTAGTGGTTTTGCGGTTTTTCTTGGTGGCAATCTGATTTCCTGGTCTTGTCGGAAGCAACGCACGGTTGCTCGTTCGTCTACAGAGGCTGAATACAAGGCTCTGGCTGATGTGTCTGCGGAGGTCACCTGGTTGGTTTCTCTGTTGCACGAGCTTGGAGTGTCATTGGCTGCTCCTCCCACTCTCTGGTGTGATAATTTGGGTGCGACTTATCTCTGTTCCAACCCGGTGTTCCATGCTCGTACAAAGCATGTGGAAATTGATTACCACTTTGTTCGTGACAAAGTGGCGAAGAAGGAGTTGCAGGTTAGCTTCATTTCCACAAAGGATCAGCTCGCTGATGTGTTCACTAAAGCTCTCCCTGGTCCGCGTTTCTCTATTCTATGTGGCAAGCTCAATGTTGTTGCTAGTTCACCATGTGCTTGAGGGGGAGTATTAGGACTCTATCATCATTAGTGTTCGTTACCTATTATTATTAGTATTCGTCTTATAATAGGTTTACTATTCACTACTATATATACTCCTGTACAGACTCATTATTATTCATTCAGATATATCGTATCCTCATCAAAATATCCTTTTCAAGATACTGATGCATGCTCTTTAACACATGAAATTTCTCACATCCACAAATCCCAGATTCCTAGTTGGACCACATACTAGACAACATTACCCTTTTGCTCCAAAAATTTTGACATAAAAATGGTAGAAATTAAGAAAAGACAGCTTAATAATCTGGATTTTAATGAATTGTCAGAGACAAATTCAGAGGTCAAAGTATATATGAGGTCCATGTACTATAATATTTTGTTTAATTTAGTCCTTCTACATTAATTTTGTTTAATTTAGTCCATGTACTTTAAAAAGTGAGACAATTAAGGACAATAGCTGATATTTATGTATTTATTTTAAACATATTAATGTAATATATTTGTGGTAAAAATAATTAATTTTAAATAATTGTAAAATAATATATGAGTTGACATATAAGTATGATGATGTGACATATATGATGTCAACGCCAAATCAACTATTCTTTTTAATTGTTTCACTTTATAAAGTACAGGGACTAAATTGAATAAAATTAAGGTAGAAGCAGGACTAAAATGAACAAAACACTATAGTACAGGAACCTCATAAATACTTTGACCCAAATTCAGCCAAGACTAAACAACCCTAAATTGGTTATTATATATATATTAGAAAATGATAAAAGGAGACAAAAAATTTCTCACCATTAAGACAAGCAATATGTTATTTTAAGAGACTGCAAGAAATTAAAACGATACGTGATTTAGTAGTTACCAACAACTATCAACGTGTCAACTAATCAATGAAATTTTAAATTTTAACGGCAACTATCATCGAGTCAATTTTACCCGCAAATAAGGCAATTTATATCCTACACCACGGCGCGCGTTGCACTATGCGCCCAGATGCAAAACGACGTCGTTTTAATTAATTTTTTTTTTTTTTGAAATTTTCCGCCCCAGTGAATGGCAGTAGTTTTTTCTTTAAAAAAAAACCCGCTGTTCAAGAATGTACATAATGTTACACTAGAATACACATAATTGTATACATGAATGTATATAATTATATAACAAAATATACATACTCTTTTTAAAAGATAATACACATAATCTAACATAATACATAATAAACATAAACTTTTAACATAATACGCACAAATTTTCTGATTCGGATGTACATAATTGTATAAAAAGAATGTACATAATTGTATAAAAAATGTACATAATTGTATGAACCAATACACATAACTGTATGAACAAATACACATAACTTTGTGAACAAATACACATAATCCCAACAACTTCCTACCGCACCTCCTAAAACGACCTCAAAATGACGTCGTTTTGGGAGGCGTGTGGCACACAATGCTATGTGCGGCGTGGTATAGGGTATAACGATTGCGCAAATAAAGTCTCAAGAATCAATAGTGGTCCACATAAAACATTAAATAAATAACCGGCCCGGGGACGATAAACATACTATGAATCTGGATCACACAAATATACAAAAAATGCATGACGGAATATGTCCCAGATATGCTGATATGCCCTAGCTAGCTATAGCTATGGATATCTGTGTCAGCACATCAGAGGAGGTTCCAACTTTCAAGAATTCCATACGGAGATGACACCAAACAACATTAAACAATCATTCTCGTACGAATAACTCAATTGATTTTTAGGTGACTATTAAAATCAAGCGTTTATTATTAATACGTCAAAAGTTATAACTTTTAACGAATCTGTCACTTTATTTCTTTAATTATATCGTCATATATTTTAGAGGCAGGGTGACAGACTTGACTCTTTAGGTGGTCCTCTGCCCAACAATCCTCATAGTTACATGGTGCTAGATTTAGCCCTTCATGCAAGCCTCCACCCAACAGTATCAGATTATAGGCAGTGATACATGATCAAGCCCTGAGAAAGCAGTGCAACAGTTATACCATGGACTCAGGTCCACCTTACAAGGTGGATACAGGTCTAAAATACACAATTTACATACTGAATGTTCACAATTTGAATTGTGAACATTTAGTATGTAAATTGTGTATTTTTTTTTAATTTGAATCCACTTTGCAAGGTGGACCCGGGTTCACAGAATAATTTGTCATCGCAATGTGAGAGCTTCACGGTTTCACCCTCTTGTGAGGGGGGTGACTCCTTCTAAGTACAAACACGGATCCTATCACCTAATGAACCGCAAAATTACTATAATTTACTCTTTTATAATTTTGTTAGATTGAGGTGCGGAGACCGTAGTAAAAATTGGGACGAGAGATTTTGCCTATGTGAACAACATTAAACAAACATTGATCCACAATAAACCTACATCTTGGCAAAACCTATAATGTTTAAACCTTGAACGACATCACTGCATGCATCACCCACATTCACAATCATGAGATGTGTCAATTGTAGGACTAGGGAGGATATGATCTCTCACATCATCATAAACCCTACAACAGTTACCCTAAAAACACACTGAAAAGGCTGCATCAGATACATAGAAATTGGACGTGGGTGTCCCAGAAACCAGAAAGTGAGTCTAGATGCATCTATTCCATTTGATGATGGTGAGGATTGGCAAATGATATGATGAGAACTTTATTGAGGATAATAGCATGCATGTTCTATGAAATTGAGCCACACAAGCACAATAACAAACATTTTGGGAAAGAATAGACACCTCCACTTTCCACCTTCAACCCAATACCTACCCACCAAGCCTGCATAAATGCCTAAGGTGTAAGCGACTCAAACTACTCATTAATAATTCAGGCTTAATTTGATTATTATCAAATTGAGCTTCAATTCGAGTAATTAATTGTCTGAGTAACAAATAAAGTCAAATTCAACCATTTTAATACTCTTCGAGCAACTCATGAACATATTGAGTTTTATTTTATTTTATTTATATTTTGTGTGTATATATATATATATATATATATATATATATATATATATATATATATATATATATATATATATATATATTACAAAAAGACTATAATCAATATGTAATATTGTGTTTTGTACTTTTGTTATAAGAGTGACTCTTGTGAGACTGTTTGATCCATGAGACAAGTCGGGTTAAGATAGAAATGTAATACTTATATTAAAAATTTTAATAATAAAAAAAATAAAGTGTTTGTTACTTATAAGGTAAACCGTAATATTTTTTTTGGAAAAATGTAATATTTTTAAATCAAAATGTAAAAGTATTATCAGTACATTGTTTTTTCAAAAGTATTGTGTTTCCCCTTATTAGTAACAAACACTTTATTTATGTTATTATTACATTTTTCAATATAAATATTACATATTCATTTTGACCCTATCCTTCTATGAGACAGTACTATACGTCTCACACAAATTTTTGCCTTATTATAATACTTGGTTGTAAGATGTTTTATATGGAGTTTGAGTCTAGGCAAGCTCAAGCCCATTAAAATTAGAACTTGTTTGTTGCACCCAACCTGAGATTGATCTTTGATATAAAATAAATAAATTAGATTTGGTTCGCCAAGCACCTTATGCTCAGATGTCATGTAATAACATCTCTCATATGGGAGGTCATATGATCAACTCTTTGTGCTTCATTAGGTTGAGAAAAGTATGTTTGAACAAATCCTACTCTATAATAGAGTCAAAAATTTTTAGATGATGATAAATATTCAGTTGATATGTGATGATAAACATCCATCTGGCTGAGTTCAACATGTTATGAGAGATCAAAATTACATGGCGGACACCCTTGCCAAGCTAGCTGTGAGAAGACGGTGTGATTGGATTGAGTTTACAAACCCTCCGGATGAAGTCTTGAGACATCTAGAAGCAGATGTGGCGAAGAGTTGACTCACTGACGAGGGAACGAGAGCTAAGAATTAAACTAGCTGGGTTACCCCTCCCCTCCCTCTCAAAAAAAAAAAAAAAAAAAAAAAACATCCATCTGGCTCGATCATGTAGTTAGGTAGATAAAATGATTGCTGAAGTTGAGGGATGTTGTCGGATGATCGAATTCATAGCATTGTGAAAAACATGAAAATTGTACTAGGAAATTAGTTAGTTAAGAGCATCCAAGTCAAAAAAACCCAAAATGTTTTTTTGGTCAGGCTATTAGGAAAGAGAAAAGAAAAAGAAAAGGTAGGGATCGCCCACAACACACCCCCAATTCTTTTTCTTCTTCTTTTTTTTTTTTTTTACATAAAATTTATCCCATCAGCCTCTTTCTGATCAACCTCCCTTTCAGTATTTTTGAGCTCATACCAAAATGAAACAAGCTAAAGAAAGAAAGAAAAAAAATTCCAATATGTATTTATATAATAAAAAAAATTCCAATATGTATTTATATAATCACATAATAAGTTCAATTCAGAACCATCTTATAGAATTAGGAAAACTTTATCCACAGACTCCTCAGGGTATATTGCTTAGTGTGAATCAGAAGTTCAGAACCATTTTACAGAATTGGGAAAACTTGTTTCTATACTCTTCAGGGTAATATTGCTTAGTGTTAATCAGCTCATCTGAACAGGTTATGACCTTATCCCCCTTCGCCATTCATGCGAGTGAACGCGGATGATTCGAGCATATCACATTGGTCCAAGGCGCTGCGAGATGACCTGCATTGTGATGCTTACTACAGTTCAGATGTGTATACGAGAGCGATAAGCATAAGCAAGCAAATGCATTTGCTTCTTAGTGCAAATATAAAGAACAAGAAACCCAATTTTATATAATGTGTGGCAAATAGTCCCAGAGGGAGAGAATTCCACTTTCCTGGGATATTAACGGCTTGGCATTCTCTTCCCATCCCGAATCCCATTTAGCAGAAGATCTTGTTTCTAGCACCCCCTTCCTCAACGATTTCAAAATATCACATTCATCCGGGAAGCCCTTGAATAGCATCTGTGGAATACAAAAGCCCAAAACATTCTTATTGACTTCAACAGTTGCTTAAACTACGGTTCATGTAATATCGCTGCTTCCTCTGTTTTAGTCCATTTGTGAATGTTCTATATATTGAACTGCTCTTTCCACACAATAGAAGAATTTTTATTTCCCTAAATAAATCTTCTTTAATGCAGCCAATTTCTTGACAAGAAACACAATATGGTACAAATATACCAAGTGATGCTTATTGCAGTGATGGTTTTGCTCAAGAACATGTCAATGTGGCATCTTCTAAAAGTGATTAGTAACACACATTCCAATTAACAAGTGATCAAAAACAGCTCCTCCCCCGTCAAATTACCAAGTTACAGCAAATAATCATCCAGTTAGCTACCAATTGAAAACTCACCATAAGTTCGTCTGCTAGTTCTGATGATGAAGAGAATAGCAGCCCATTCTGTTCAACTTTTACAAGCTCCTTGATGCTTTTCAACATTTATAAAGAAACGATTATAAACATCACCCACAGTGAAAGAATAACCCAATGTATTCTATGAGAAAGAAGGGTGAACCTGAGTGTCATACCACGAGTAGGAAACTGCACACACAGGCAATCCACACCCAAACATATCCACAACCTAAATTTAAGATTTGAGAATGAGGTTGTGCAGCATAAAATCTCCATGTATAAACACTTCACTTAGATATGAAAATTAGGAATTTGGAATAGAAACCTTCATTGGAAGATCTAACCCTGAAGAGGAAGTATGCAGGCAAACACCAAGATCAGCTGATCCTGTACCACCAAAAAGATAAGGCTTGACATATAGACATATTTGACGTGAATACTACTGCAAATTGAATAGAAATACCTACCAAGAAGCAATGGATAGTCCTCTGCTGGAAGCCACATTGTACGAAATGCTACACGCTTGAGATTCAGTTTTCTGATCTTTTGTTCATATTTTTCTTTTTCAGGTCCTTTGCCTTCATTCATTTCAAAGAGGCCAAAGTTTGTCAGGCTTAAAATATTGTATAATGGCATAACCAGTCAATGAAAAAAGCCTATGTTTGCACACAAGTTGTGGTTACCCGTAATTATGAATAACAACCTTGGGTACAAAAATTGCTTCTCATTCCTAATTTCCTCCCAAATAAGTTCCTCTCCACTTGAGTCATCCTCATTCAGAATAGCAGCAACCCGCCTATCATACATGACAGCTGCTTCTAAGAGGATACCAAAATCCTCATCTGGGGTCCTGAGCACAAGCACTAGTCCATAAGGTAGCTATAATTGAAATCTGATAAGTCTCATTAATGAATTCATTCACTGACTACACTTCTATGGAATAAGTTTTCCACTATTAAAACAGAAATATGAAATCATGGTTCAAATTAGATTGAGAACAAATTTCAAACTATGCTTCTAACTTTTCAGAAAGTTGGCTTTTGCACTTTATCTCTCTGTTGAGTATTATATCACTGAGGTAATATTGCTACCAGTGTCGGTATCACAAGTTTCAGTATTTCACTAAAGAGTATCATGTTCCTGGTTCTAAAAAGCATAGTCAAATAATAAAGAATATACTCCGTAGTTTAAAGTTATTTTCAGTGGTGATCAAGGACTCCAGTAAATATTTGAAGATAGAAAGAAAAACATCACAAAGCTGCAAACCATTACAAGATGGAAAATTGATTTTAAAAAGGCCTAACCAGCTAGTACTGCTAACAACAAGCGCTGGTCTGTTTTGCTTCAAGTATATATCCTTTTCAGCCTGAGTTGTAAAAGGAGTTAGATTGGAATCAACACTGTCTGTTCCCAATATTCCTGCAGATATTGTGAATTGGTACTCAATCTTCAGTAGGAAAACAAAAAGAAAAAGAACATTACCAGACCAAATATAGAAATAAACTACATTACCATAGCTTAGACAATCTTGGCGGCTGTAGGGCTGGCTCAGGCTTTTTCCAATCCTACAAAACAACTATAGCCCACAAAAGAGTGACAATTTTCAAGCCAACACATTATTGAAGGTAATTTTCACATGGAATATTTGAGTCACCTTATGTTTCTCCTCAAGGGATGCTGGTTGAAAGAATTCAGGAGGCTGATCATATAGAACAGTGGCACTAAGTTTTTTGAAAACCATAGAGGATAAAGAATCTTGCATTAACACAATAGCCAACAAACATGAATAATCAGCATTAAATACAGATAAATTTGAATTCCTATCCTTACTTTATACCCCAGTTTTGAGCCAATTCATGTTGCATTGCCTTCGTCACACACAAGGACCCATCTGCCATCCTCCCAAAATGCTTTTCAATCCTAGGCACAAATTAAAGATTTATATAACTTTGATACATAAAAATAAAGGGAAGATTATATATGAAAGAAGACTTAGCTACCAATGATAAAGAGTGACAAATCGGCTATTCCTGCCAAGAGACAGTGCAAGGAGTGTGTATCCAAAATTATGCCAATCTATAATGAATGCAGAACGTCTAATCCAGCTTGCCCATTTTACAGCAACCAATGTAGGAACAGAGGGTGGGTTCTGTAGAAGTTGAAACAGTGAGATTAAACTAAAGATTATATATCAAAGTATTAAAGAGCTATGTGATAATTATTAAACAATTGAAAATGAAAAACAACAGAAGAGAGACCTCACTGAAATCATGTTCCATAGAATAGAAAGTATTCAATATCTTTTAGGAATTGAATTGTTTGAATGTCAGACTGATGGCAGAAAATCAACAGAATTGAACAACTGGAATAGATTTGGCTGCTGTAAAGTACATTCTCATAACTCACCTGCACTATGAATACATCAGGAGCAGGAATTTTGACACAAAGATACCAGAAAAGCATCAGAAACTGAACCAATGGCTTGAGCATAAGCATAAAAGGACGAAGTATCTTGGGTAAAGTTTGAGGGATTGATGGCCATTGTGTCTGCATGATTCAAATAATAAATAATAATCAGAAGGAAAATACAACATGTCAGTAGTGAGTTTTAATTATCTTAAATAAATATCCCGGTAAGAGCATCCTACAGTAATACCATTCTATGAATGTGAATAGACGGATGCTCTAAAACAGCAGAATGGGGTTCAGAACCTGCTCAAAATTTCGACAACTTGGATTAGAAGATATGGAATCACAAATAACCTGAGAATCCGTTACAAATTACAAACCTCCATATGCCACAATATCCACTTCCAGATGAGCCTGCAAGCAAAACCAGCAGCACAAGAGTATATAAATTATTCAGAGGGTCAAATCTTCAAAGCAAACATGGAGAGCTGACGTTTATATAGCTAAACATAAGGTCGAATTACTGATAAGCATCTCCATTGATCATTATTAATCTTAAATGTTACGGTGTATAACATAATTTATGATAAAAAATGCAATTCAGTTCAGTTAACTCCTCTCTCCTCCCTCATTTCTAAATCTATGGAATCCTACAGCCATATCAACCTCATCACATGAATCAATTCTCCTCGGAAACAGAGTTAAGCTGAAATTTAGTAACGCATGTATATTTATGTCTGTGTATGAACCTGGCGAGCGAGAGAAAGAGCGTGATATTGCATCCGGGGACTGCGGCCGATATCACCGAGAACCACAACTGCCGCCCTACCTCTCCGCCTCGTCTTCGTCTGATTCATTGGATTTTTTTCAACTTTTTGAGCAGAAATTCGATCACTATCCACTGTGATTTTGATCTCTGGTGTTTTTCGCGATTCTCGGAGATCGGATTTGCTGGGAAGCTAACTAGATCTTTTATCTTATTCCGTACTATTTTCTTGCGTAAACTTCGGTTTATTTTACACCTTATTTTCTTGCGTAAATTTCATGGTTGCAGTAGGCGCTGGGCGCTAGTCGGGCGCCCGGGCAACGCCTAGCGCCTAAGCGGCCTAGTCGGCGGCGCCTAGGCGGAATCTAGGCGGCGCTAGGGGGTCGCGAAAAAAACAGTAGCAGACTTGCAATTTGATAATTTTAATGAGGCTGTTTTCAACATTTAATCAAATAACACATCCAAATAAATGACATAATGACAATTCATAAGTCATAACATCAAAAGAATATTAACAAAAAAAAAAAAACTCAAATGAAATACCCAAATACTTCAATCATCCAAAGATTGAAAGTATCAAACTAGTCTACGCGTGTATATATGTCATATTATATGTATATGTCATATAAATGGAAAATATTAGCAAGGTCAAGTCGGTCGGGTTAACTCCACTAACTCGACAAAAATTGACGAGTTAACTCGGCGTAATCGAACGAGTTAGGCGCTAGGCGGCTGAATTAGGCGCTAGGTGGGCGCCTAGGCGGCCGGTCTCCTAGGACGGAAATCGCCACGGTCTATGGGTGCCTAGTGCCTAGGCGCCGATTACTCGGTGCCTAGGCGGGATTTTTACAACCCTGCTAAATTTACTAAATATGTAAATTCATAACTTTTTTTTATACTTACTCTAAAATGAAAAAAAGATGCATTATTTACTTGTATGATTAAATGAAAAATATAAATATGTTTAAGTAAAATAGTTTTTTTATTTAATATTAAAATATTAAAAATTCCCTGAAATTTAAGAATAAGTCTTGTGTAATAAGGAGTATATTTTAATAAAAATGTAATGTTATTTATAAGTGTATAAAAAATATTATACATTTTATGTGAGATCGTCATATAAAATACTCACTCAAAATTAAATGGAATTTGAGTTTAGTGTGTTGAGTTAAAACTTAAAAGTGAACATGAATTCTTATTAATATTTGGAGTTTTTTTTAAGATCTTATTTCAATACTAGTATTTTCTTATGCGCGATGTGCAAAAAATATGTGCCCAATATTATTATTTTATGTTTAGATTTTTGATATTTAAATTATTATAAATAATAATAATAATAATAATAATAATGTAAACATTTTTATACATTTGATATTTATATTGTAGGAAATAACTCCAAATTATAATGTATATATATTATTATTATTATTGAAGAATATAAGAAAATATATGGTGGATGCATGTGCATGGTAACAATGGTGGAAAAGATAACGGAAGTTATAATGGTAGGGGTATGTTTGTCCAAAATATTACAAAGTACAACATTTATAGCATAATGTATAAAAAAACTTAACGAAAAAAATAGACATAAATAAAGGGTATAACCTTCATTCACACTTATTATGTTTTTAGATATTGTTGAAGTTTTTTTTTTTTTTTTTAGAAATGGGCACATTTTGTTTTGTTACAAGTCACACGTACAAAGATCATATTAAATAAGAAAAATAACCATAATAATGCAAATTTGACTCTATTGTGCAAATATACTTGAATTTCTTTTTGTTTGTGACGTACAAAGATCATATTAAATAAGAAAAATAACCATAATAATGCAAATTTGGCACTATTGTGCAAATATATTTGAATTTCTTTTTGTTTGTTGATTTTTAAATATTTTAACGACTCAACTCAAGTGATCGACTACCGGACCTAAAGTTAACATTTTTAGTGGCAGGGTGAAAATTCAACTAACATCAACATTTTGGAGCTAGGTTTCCCAAGCTAGAGTTTGAGTCTACGAAAGTGTAGAGATGAATCCCTTCTGCGCAGAGTTAACCACAGGAATTGACTAAGAAACTATATGGTCAACTCGTGATTTACCTCGTTCAATCATTTTTGTACAAAGATTTTGAGGACTTATAATTAATATGACGTAAGTTAATGTTTCTCTTTTTCACGATTAAAATTTTAGTTAGACTAATAGTTTTGCTTAAAGAGAGAAAATATTTCCAAGGCTAAGCCAAGTAGCCAAAATAAAGACCCTTCTTCTCAATAAACAAGAGATAGCATTATTGCACAAACACCAACATAATTGGCTTATTGTCATACATTAATCCAACATGACATCTACTCACAGGACACACTCAAGTGTCACTGCTACACAGACACAGACCATAGATTACTACCACATTTGATAACATAAAACTCCACAACATGAAAACCAAAAAACACACAAACAAAGTTCAACCAAGTAGTGTTATTGAATGGAAGGAAGCCCTTAAGCAAAACCCAGTTTCTCCCTGAAGACATGGGTAAACTCCAAGATCTTGTGAGAATCAGGGAGAGTCTTGGAGACACTCTCCTTCTCCATGCACCTCTTAGCCCAAGCAACCAGCTTAGGGCACTCAGCCTCTAGACTGAAATGACCAAAGCTCTCCCAGGTATAGAACCAGCAGCAATATCCTACGAGGGAAACGTCAACAAACCCAAAGCTCTCGCCCCCAAAGTATGGCTTGTCTCCAAGCGCTCCCTCCAGCACCTTTAAGGTGCCTATCAACTCCTTAACGCCTGCCTCCAGTTCTTCTCCCTTTGTTGTCCATGTTTTCCGGCCAAGATCATACAGCTGCAATCAAAGCACAAATTTTTATTCGAACCCAATCTAAGAAAACTCTTGGTAAGATTAACAATATTACCTTCTTGTCGATGTAATCAGCCCAGAACTTAGCCTGGGATTTCTCATAAGGATCAGAGGGGAGCAATGGGGCCTTGTCCTTCCACACCTCATCAATATACTCCACTGCGATCGTAGATTCACAGACTGGCTTCCCATTGTGGACGAGAACTGGGATTTTCTTGTGAACCGGGTTCATCTTCAGAAGCAGCTCACTTTTCATGTTGTTCAACAAGTCCTCTTCTCTGTACTCATACTTCACCTCCTTCTCAGCCAGAGCAACTCTTATCCTCATTCCAAACATGCTAGGCCAGAAATCCAACAATATCACTTCATCACCCATTTTCCCAACCCAAAAAAAGGGAGCTTTTTTTCTTTTCTGGCTAGAAGTAGAAGGCCAGTAGAAGTAAACCTACAATTCTACAATGGCTGTGATGAGAGCCTTGCATGCTAGCTTATTATAATCTTGAAAATCTGGGGACTGGGGTCCTTTAACCAGAACCATGTGGTGGTGTTTTCAAGCAAATTTGTTGCGTTTTAATGATTGGGAGGGCGAGGGTCCCCACGCCTGTAATCCTGCCTGTCCTGTATGAAAAGAAATATCAGAGGTGTTCGATGAAAATCTGTATGCATCTATAAATCAGACAAATTTCATTATCATACAAAAGTTTATAGTTACTATTTCGGGACTGGAGTCCTTTCTAGAGAACCGTGTGATGGTGTTTCAAGTAACTTTTGCGTATTTATTGGGATGGTCCCCCAGCCAGTAATCTTGTATGGAAAGAAATCTAAGTAAAATGCATAAAGATTTATTAACACGTAAATAAAGCCAAAGCCGCTCAAATATGATCAGTTCTTCAGTCAGGGAATATAAGGTTTCAGAGGCTGGAGCAGCTTACAGAATTCTTGAAAAGGCGTTCTTGTTCTCAGCCAGCGTCCATTGGTCCTCTGCACTAGATTCATAGTAGTCAAACACCATCTTCGGCAGCTTCTTCTTGGCAATAGCCTCATACTCCATGACATTAGTTATTTCCTCCATTGCTGCTCTTGTTCTTATCTTTTCCCTTAAAAAATCTGGACGTTTAATAAAAATATCGATAAATTAGACAAAGCTGATATCCACCGGTATTATCATCCTACAGTCCATTAAGCTTAATCTCTGAACTCATGAAACTACTAACAGACCCTTAATAAAGTAACATGTTGCAGTTATGATGGAGAAACCATTAGTCACAGGTTCACGAAATGATAAATGATGAAACAGGACTATTTAGAAATTCATGATTGATTATCCAACTAAAGGACCACATACAAGTATAAAGGAGAATGTTAGAATCCTTAGAGTGAGTGAGAAACTAACATGGCAGTGAATCAGAAGCAAAAATCTTAAATAAAACCATGTAAAACCATGAAATTCAACTATCAAGACAGAAATAAAACAGCACATATGTTTAAAAGATTCTTGAACATGTAAACTTGCTACTTTGATGCTTGCATATACTAAAATCAATTATTCGTCGACTGTATGTGATTGATATAAAGAAAGATGAGCATGAGCATAGAATTAGTGAGGTGAGGCCAAGAGGGGCGGAGGATAGTGCATTAGTGCATTCGGGTTGAAGCCAGTGAATGACAACTAGACGATGAAGGGAAAGGAAGAAGGATTGAAACAAGGAGTGTTTGGGGTGGGGGTGGGGTGGGGGGTGGGGGGTTGTGGAGAAGATTGTAAACCACATCCAATTAGAAGGGGCAACTGGCTGATTCCCTACCATGCACCTTTGATGCTTTACAGTTTCTCTTCACTATGATACCAATATTATTTTCCAAAAACACTAGCAATCTATCTTGACTTTCTTGAATATGTTCAAAAACAGTACTATTTAAATATCATTACTCATTAGCCTTTGAAAGCTCTTCCCCTCCATTAGATATGCCTTTATTATTATATGGATAAGGGTCACATGAAGATTGTATTCTTCTGGGCATGATTGCCACTTCTATGCCATTGGGCATCCAAACACAGATATTGACAAGGGTAGCATATATACATGTGAAAAAAGGGCCAACAGTCAAGCAGTTTGTTAACTTCAACTTCAACCAATAATCAGAAAGTTGGTTAGGGAGTTGAACAGGCCATGTCATATGATTAAACCTTGTAGACTTTTTTAGTTTTGTACGCTTAGCTGAGCTCAACAAATTCCCCTTTAAAATTCAAAAGAGAAAGCTCAAGGGTCGACCACCAGATCTAAAGTCAACACACCTCTAGTTAAAATTCAAAAGAGAAAGCTCAAGGGTCGACCACCAGATCTAAAGTCAACACACCTCTAGTGGCAGGGTGAGAATTCAACTCCCACCAACATCTTGGAGCTAGGCTCCCCAAGCTATAGTTTGAGCCCACAAAAGTGTAGAGATGGATCCCTTGTGGGCAGAGTTAACGACAGGAATTGACTAAGAGACTATGTGGTCAACTCGTGATTTACCAACTTCAACAACTCTTGGACAAAGGTTCTGAGGACTTATAATTAATCTGGCATAAGTTGGAAACATAATGTATAAAAAAAAAAAAAGAAAAAAAAAGATGAAGATGTTTCACTTTTCCACCATTAAAATACTAGTTAGACTAATAGTTTTGCTTAAAATTTAGAGAGAAAATATTTCCAAGTAGCCAAAACAAAGACCCTTCTCAATAAACAGGAGATGGCATTGCACAAACACCAACATAATTGGCTTATTGTCATACATTAATCCAACATGACATCTAGTCACAGGACACACTCAAGTGTCTCTGCTACACACAGACCATAGATTACTACCACATTTGATAACATGAAAACCTACAAAACACAAATAAAGTTCAACCTTGGATTGAATTGGCAGATTGGCACCCCAAGGAACCAAGTAGTGTTATTGAATGTAAGAAAGCCCTTAAGCAATACCCAGCTTCTCCCTCAACATCTGGGCAAACTCCAAGACCTTGTGAGAATCAGGGAGAGACTTGGAGACACTCTCCTTCTCCATGCACCTCTTAGCCCAAGCAATCAGCTTGGGGCACTCTGCCTCTACACTGAAATGGCCAAAGCTCTCCCAGGTAGAGAACCAGCTGTAGAATCCTATGAGGGAAACATCAACAAACCCAAAGCTCTCACCCCCAAAGTATGGCTTGTCTCCAAGGGCTCCCTCCAGCACCTTTAAACATCCTATCAACTCCTTAACAACTGCCTCCAGTTCTTCTCCCTTTGTTGTCCATGTTTTCCGGCTAATTTCATACAGCTGCAATCAAAGAACAAATTTTTATTTGAACCCAATCTAAGAAAAGTGTTGGCAAGATTAACAATGTCAGGTATTTCAGGGATTATTACCTTCTTGTCGATGTAATCAGCCCAGAACTTAGCCTGGGATTTCTCGTAAGGATCAGAGGGGAGCAATGGCGCCTTGTCCTTCCACACCCCATCAATATACTCCACTGCGAGGGTAGATTCACAGACTGGCTTCCCATTGTGGATGAGAACTGGGATTTTCTTGTGAACCGGGTTCATCTTCAGAAGCAGCTCACTCTTGTTCCTCAGATCCTCTTCTCTGTACTCATACTTCACCTCCTTCTCAGCCAGAGCAATTCTTAGCCTCATCCCAAACATGCTAGGCCAGAAATCCAACAATATCACTTCATCACCCATTTTCCCAACCCAAAAAAAGGGAGCTTTTTTCCTTTTTTTTCTTTTCTGGGGTGTAAAAGAAGCTCAAAACAGTGGCTATAAGTAGAAGGCCTGTAGAAGTAAAAGGTTCTACCAGAATCTGTGAGAGCCTCGCTAGCTGATAATCTTAAAAATATGCGGCGGTGTTTTCAGTAACGTTGTTGCGTATTGATTGGGAGGCGAGGGTCCCCACGTCATGGAAAGAAATATCACACATAAAACGAGAGAGATAGATGAAGTATAAATCTATATCGAACGCCCATCTATATGAAATCGTTTCACATAATACGTTTTCATGATGTATAAATTCCCTACTCCACTAATACCTTTTAGTAATATTATATTACTTTTTGATTATTAAGAAACGGATTTAAATGACTAGGAGAATATCTAGTATTTTTTTTTTTTTTAATATCTCGTATGTATTTAAGTTAAAAAGAAAATGACAATTTTTATCATTAAATTATATCAAAATAATAATTTTTTGACTTTTCGTCCTCTATATATATATATATATATATATATATATATATATATATATATATATATATATATATATATTAATGTTACTAGCTCTATTACAATGTAATATCTTTAGGCTCAAACTCACAATCTTCTAAATGAAAGTTCAATCCGGATACCAGACCACATAATCCATATTTAATTGCTTGCAAAGTAACATTTTTATCTCTCAATTGTTGTGAAGTGATTTTTTTATGTTTAAGTGTGGTTTAAAAGTCACTTGATAGATAATTGATTGATAAAAGTTATTTTAAATAATAATTAAATAATAAAAAATGATTATAATATTATTAATAGACAAAAGTAGTACGGAGTATTTTTCTATAATTTTAAAACCAAAAAAAAAAAAAAAAAAAAAAAAAAAAAAAACCACTTCCCCTAACAATTATATTATCTTTAATATTTGTGGCTTTGTGCCCCCCCCCCCCCACCCCCACCCCCACCCCCACCCAAAAAATAAAAGAGATTAAGTTATTGCTTCCGTCATATTTCTAAACTATTATATATAACGGAAAAAAAATTGTAGGGCAAGAAAAATATTTATGTTGTACTTCAAACTCATTATCAAATAGAATTGTATATATATATATATATATATATATATATATATATATATATATATATATTAGTGCAAACTCACGTCTCAAATCAATATAGGACAAGGACTTCTTCCAAGACTTTCTATATTTATTTTTCAACTCAAATACGTTTACATTGACTCAACTTAAATTGGGAATAGACTCCACATATATATTTACCACAAAAACTATATATATTACTATACTTAATCACATAAAACTCCACAATTTTAAAACATACCCAACCAATATAAACCTTCGAAAAGTCTAATAAGGCAGTTGATCAACCAAGTACATAACTCTATTTATAATTGAAGTAAATATTTATTCAATTCCCATCGTATTCCTTGTAGACTTGACAAACTCATAAATCTTGTTAGGATCAGGAAGAGACTTAGACACACTTTCCTTCTCCATGCACCTCTTAGCCCAAGCAATCAACTTAGGGCACTCTTCCTTTAAGTTGAAACAACCAAAGGTCTCATAGGTATAAAACCAACTATTATATCCAATGAGAGCAATATCAACAAACCCAAAGCTCTCACCCCCAAAGTATGGCTTGTTTCCAAGTGCTCCCTCCAACACCTTCAAACATTCTACCAGCTTCTTGCTTGTTGCCTCATGTTCATGCTCTTCTCCCTTTGTTGCCCATAGTTTATAACCCAACCAATTTATCTGCAATTCAAAGCTCAATGATTTAGTAGGCAGTTTTTGGAGAAGAGATCAATGTTTAAATTTCGGGGGCGGTATTGTGAAAATTATGTCTAAAGTGGACAGATCTCTTATAACGCAAGGCCATTTGATCTTGTCTGAGCTATTGAATCACCGTGATTTACATCTTACCAAATGCTCTGTCGAGCGGTCAGGTTGTGGGCCCTTGGGGTCGGGGATTGAGTATTTATATAAAGAAAGATACAATAATATCTCTAATACTTAGTATTTATGTAATTTGGGGCTTACCTTCTGCTGGTCAATGTAGTCAGCCCAGAACTTGGCCTGGGATTTCTCATAAGGATCAGAGGGGAGCAATGGCGCCTTATCCTTCCACACCTCATCAATATACTCCACTGCGATCGTAGATTCACAGACTGGTTTCCCTTTGTGGATGAGAACTGGGATTTGCTTGTAAACCGGGTTCATCTTCAAAAGCAACTCACTCTTGTTCCTCAGATCTTCTTCTCTGTACTCATACTTCACCTCCTTCTCAGCCAAAGCAACTCTTAGCCTCATCCCAAACATGCTAGGCCAGAAATCCAACAATATCACTTCATCACCCATTTTCCCAACCAAAAAATGAGCTTTTTTTTTCCTTTCTGGGTGTAAAAGAAGCTCAAAAACAGTGGGTCTAGAAGTTGCAGGCCGGTAGAAGTAAAGCTCAATCATTATATCCTACACCACGGCGCACATAGCACTGTGCGCCACGCGCCTCCCAAAACGACGTCGTTTTGGGATAGTATTGGGAGGCGCGGTAGGAAGTTGCTGAGATTATGTGTATTTGTTCACAACGTTATGTGTATTTGTTCACAACGTTATGTGTATTGGTTCATACAGTTATGTGTATTTTTTATACAATTATGTACATTCTTTTTATACAATTATGTACATCCGAATCAGAAAATTTGTGTGTATTATGTTAAGAGTTGATGTGTATTATGTTAAAAGTTTATGTTTATTATATATTATGTTAGATTATGTGTATTATCTTTTTAAAATAGTATGTATATTTTGTTATATAATTATGTACATTCATGTATGACATTATGTGTATTCTAGTATAACATTATGTACATTCTTGAACAGCGGTTTTTTTTTTAAAGAAAAAACTACTGCCATTCTCTGGGGCGGAAAATTTCAAAAAAAAAAAATAATTAAAACGGCATCGTTTTGCATCTGAGCGCATAGTGCAACGCGCGCCGTGGTGTAGGATATAAATTGACAGTAAAGCTACAAGGAGGAAATGACCCAGAAATTTCTACTCGAACCTACTGATTTGAAAATATCAAATATATTATCATGATATTTCAATTCCTTACTCCACTAATACTTTTTAGTAAGATTATATTACTGTTTAGTTGTCAATAAACGGATTTAAATGACTGATAAAATATTTTTTATGTATTAAAAGTTTAGAAAAAGTGACAATTTTCATCATCAAATTATATAAAAATAATACGTTGTCAATTTTTAGTTGCATAGTGACATTTTCTATATTTAAGTGTGTTACAATTGAGTTTAAAAATTCGTTTTGTAGATGAATGATTGACAAAGAAAATTATTTGTCAAATAATTAAATAATAAAAATAACAATAATATTATTAATAGACAAAAAAGTACTACTTTTCTATAATTTTAAAACAACAAACATCATTTTCCCTAACAATTATATTACCTCAATATTTTTGCCAATAATTGAAGATTGAGTCATTGCTTCCGTCATCTTTCCTCCATTGTACATTTGTACATTAGTAAGTGAGTCATTTAAAATTCTTTTTAAAAATATACATGTGTATTAAATTAAATAAGTAAATATCAAAAGTAGCATCATTCTGGCAAAATTCTTGGTCCAAAACTCCAAATACGTAGGGGGCCATTACGGACGACGAAAGGGGAAAGTCACCTAAAATTATTATTGTAAATACATAAATTTATTATTATTTGTGTTATTTTAGTATATTTTGAATCTCGTTAAATTGTCTTCTAGACTCCTCTGAGGAAGTAAAAAATTGAGTTAATTAGCCTTTTTTTTTTTTTTTTTAATGTTACTAGCCCTATTACATTGTAATATACTAGTATGTGTTCATATGCTTTCTCAACTTACTGAAATACAAAAAACCAATAATGTCTCCATTGAGGCTTGAACTTGTAACCTTTCAAATAAAAATCCAACTCGGGTACCATTAGACCACATAGTCTTGGTCAATACCAAATTATACACTTTTACATACAATAAGTCAAATCTAAACGAAATTGAACCCTTACCTATTCACTGAAAGCAAGTTTTAAGTGAGACTTTTCATTTATTAGACCTGATAAATATAAATTAATTTGGCTTAGCTTATATAGTCTTGATGAGTAGTGCAAATGGAGGAACAAGACAAGACATTTTACGTGACAACTAGGAAAAGGAGAAAACCACAAGCCTTTTTAAAACTAGGTTAGGCCGAAATCCACAAATATGGTTGAATAGTACATATTCTAACATATTATATTTAGTACTAGTGAAATTCAAATTAAATACAAGGGACAGAGTGATGAGATCGGGAAGTTAACTGAGGATCTAACCATATAAGGTCGGGAAGCTATGGTTGGAGTGGTGTATGTTGGGAGAAGCAACCTCTCACACTAGGCAAAGTGCTCTATTTATAGGGTGGCAATGAGACATAATGATGATAAATACTAACATAGCTGACGTGGTATTCCTTGTTTGGACACTCAAATCGGTCATGACACATGAAAGTTGTTGAGGTGACGACGGAGTTGTCGGGAAGTAAATATTTATTCAATTCTCATCATCTTCCACAAAGACTTGACCACTCAAAACTCTAGAACTTCAGCATACAAAATAAATCTTTGACAAATCCAATAAAACAGACGATGAACCAAGTACACAAACTAATATATTATTGAATTTTTGTGCCCCATTACAATAAGTAATTATTCAATTCCATTCATTTTCCTCAAAGACTTGACAAACTCATAGATCTTGTTAGAATCAGGGAGAGACTTGGACACACTTTCCTTCTCCATGCACCTCTTAGCCCAAGCAATCAACTTAGGGCACTCTTCCTTTAAGTTGAAACAACCAAAGGTCTCATAGGTATAAAACCAACTATTATATCCAATGAGAGCAATATCAACAAACCCAAAGCTCTCACCCCCAAAGTATGGCTTGTTTCCAAGTGCTCCCTCCAACACCTTCAAACATTCTATCAACTTCTTGCTTGCTTCTTCTTCTCCTCCCTTTGTTGCCCATATTTTATAACCCAAATCATTTATCTGCAATCAAAAGTACAATATTTACTGGCTCTTGAGACTCCACAACACTCAACTTAATTGGGAACCAAGTTTTACTGCAACAACTCTCATATTCGATCTACTCCTTAATGCGACAATCATTGACAAGCGATCTTCATAAGGTGAGTTTCAAAAAAAAAATAGTCTATATCAAAAGTTTAGGTGAGAGAGCAAACTTTGAAAGTCTAGGTAATTTTTTTTTTTTTTAGAACCATAGTTTCATAAAAAAATTAAAAAAAATAAAAGTTAGAAGATTAGAGATGACCAAACACTCAGAACTTAGAAAGAATTCTTTGTAATTTGGCTTTTGATGCATGGAAATTTACTTCATACCATATTAGTACTTAAAAGTGTTTTTGCCACTTTATTAGCCTACAACACTGAAAATTGTGGTACAGCCACTTTTTTTTTTCCACTTTAATATGAGAAATTTAGTAAAATTTTACAAGATTTTTATCACATAACTTGTGATTGATTAAAATTTGAAGATAAAATTCACATTTTCTACCAAATCATGTCGCGTGAATAAACATTTTTCCCATCAACTTTGGTCACAAAAATTTGATGGGATTTTACTAGATTCCTCATCGCAAGGACCAAACATGACAGTTCACCAAAAATAAAAGTTTTCGTAATCATGTACCAATAGTGGAAATAACTTCAAACTAGTGAGACCAAAAGCGACAACAACTCTAAAACTCAATTATTTATGTAACTTGAGGCTTAATTACCTTTTGGTCAATATAATCAGCCCAGAATTTAGCCTGGGATTTCTCATAAGGATCAGAGGGGAGAAACTGGGCACTCTCCATCTTCCACACCTCATCAATATACTCTACTGCAATTCTAGACTCACAAACTGGTCTTCCATTGTGAATCAGAACTGGGATTTTCTTGTGAACCGGGTTCATCTTCAGAAGCAACTCACTTTTCATGTTATTCAACAGGTCCTCTTCTCTGTACTCATACTTCACCCCCTTCTCAGCCAGAGCAATTCTAAGCCTCATCCCAAACATGCTAGGCCAGAAGTCCAACAATACCACATCTTCATCTGCCATTTCCCAGAAACCAGTTTTTTTCCCTGTTTTTCGGCTAAGAAAAAGAAGAAGAAGAAGAAGAATGATTGTAGTAAAGCAGTGGAAACATTGGAAATCTGGGTTGCTGTATATAGAGCTCTGCAGCCTGCAGATTCTGAAGACAGGTTGTAATCTACAAAAAGTTCAAAACTACACTGCATTGGTTTAATCTCCATTGCTTTTGTCATATTTTGGCCATTAATTTTGTTCGATAAAATGCAATTTTTAGTCCCTCAATTGTTCCTGACTAGTTGTTTAAATATTAAATATTAACTTGAATACCACTTGCAGGCTGCATATATTTTGTATTATGTTAATGCTCATAGCTTTTGGATTATTATCGCGACACAATAAAATATAAAATATGAAATTGCCTCACCACCGATGTGACATATATGTCTCACCGATGTTACAATAATTTTTCTTATAATCGTCTGTATTTAAAATATATATATATATATATATATATATATATATATATATAGACAGGGCACATATTAGTGTCATGTCACTATATAAGTTATATGCTACATTTCTCCTTGGAGCACCCTATTCCCTATTTCTCTTACTCTCAAGTAGTTTCTCCTCCTCCTCTTTCAGATATGATAGGATAAGAAGAAAGCCAAATAGAAAGAATCCACCGGACGAGGGTGATCCGCCTCCTCCCCCGCCACCACCTCCACCATACCGAGGCGGAAGGCTAGGGCCGCTGTCATCAAGTCTTGGTGTGAATGTCGTCTTATCTGTACATGTTCAATTCAATACCAACTCTCGTTCAGATTTACGATCATAATGATGCGATGAACAAGTGAACAACAATATGCTAATCAAACTAATAGCACATTCCACAACAAGAAGAACAACAAACACTAATAATTGACAATATATAGTACCTTGTTGTGGAGCAGTGTTTGCTGTTTTCGGTTTGTCAACACGGGGCAGAGTTTGTGCGCTTGCCTGCAATAGAAGTGAACCCGCGGTGCAATAATCAAGATTCGAAGATTATCCTCGGGACAACGTGTTTAAAGGTAAAGATGAAACATGTCTTACTATGTACTTACAGATGCTGCTGCACAGACAATCGAGGATGGTTTCTGTCTATTTAGTTGTCTGGTAGACCTCATTGCCTTAAATGGTTGGTGCTTTGTGTACAAATGCAGTTTTTGTGAGTGCAATTTGAGGGGTATCCTCAATTGATTACAAATCTTGGGCTCTTGATGATGATGGTTGTTCCTCAGGTGCTCATGAATACTAGTTTTAGCTGTGAAAATTGTACCATATAGGTTTGGGACAACACTAACCAAGTTTATTAGGTTGCTGACTTGATAAATGGTAACCACAACGTTACAAGTTCAACTTTCAATGGGAGGGGCTTATTTGGACTTTTTGGCTTGAGCCGTCAACTATGGGCAACTTAGAATGGTTTATCTCTTTGTGGTTCTTTGTCGACTAGAGTCAGAAGGCGAGATTTACCTCATGCATACTGTGAGTTTTTCTCGTCACCCAATTCTAAAAAAAGTAACCTAGGGTATGAATTTTTTGCGTTATTGATCAACATGCAATCCAGTTTCAGTTTAGACTTTTAGTTGAGGTGGAACACATAGCTTCAATTTACTCGATTGTAAAGAATACTATTGAATACTCGTGCCAATAATACTTGATACCCTATTCATAGTATCCGAATAAAAAAAATTAATTGTACCTGATATTATCGACACCGATGCAAAGATCTATGACTTAGTAAGAGCCAACACTTATGAAAGATAAATTGCACATACCCGGAGTTGGTGGGAGCATAACAGAGAGTGCAGAGCCGGTGGCAGCAGCGAGGGGTGCCATGACTATTAAAATTCAGGGAAATAATTTAATTGATTCCAAAAATCAAATACAGTAAACGACAACATATTAATCTTAATCTACACTGTTATTATATATATTTTCCTAAACCCAATGGGCAATGGACAAAAAGATTATGTATTTATACCACCAGTACACAGGCCATGGCAGACCATAAATGAATTATCATTAAGGATTGTAAATTTTCATGATAGAATCTTAAACAAGAAAAAAAAAATGGAAAAAGGAGGGGAGTAACCTTTTAAGAATGTCGGAAACAAGTGGAGGCCTGGAGAAATGATGGTGTACGATGAATGGTTTGTTCAGAAGCAGTCCCATGTCATGGTGAATTGGTGATTAGGGTAGCAAGAAGGAAGGAGATGGACAAGTAATTAAGAATTAATCCGTAATTAATCATTTAGGAAAGTACGACAATCGTTATATCTAGAAGTGATTAAGAATCGAAGAATAATTTTCTTATACTAAACGGATCCAATCATTATTGCATGGATTATGGTTCACACAATTGTATGGATTATAAATAAAAAATATATTTTTAATATATTAATGATATATTATTTATGAACGTAAAGTACATTTTTAATATATTAAGGTACATTATTTTATATACGGTATCTTTACTATTAAAATAATGTACCTCAATACAAAAATAATATACTTTTAATATATTAAAAATGTATATGATATTTATAATCCATACAATTGTGTTTGCCAACGGACCCTCTGTTGTTTATGTTGTTTGGGCTGGAAAGGGCTGTAAATGTTTCATTGGGCTTTTGAATTTTTATAATTGACTAGTTCAAAGGCCAATTAAACTTTTGAAATGTTTAGCAATTATGTGGTTATTATTGTAAATTTTATTGATTTTCTTCTATAATTAATGAAATTTATTTAATTAGAGTATACATTTTTTTTATTTAATTACTGATTATTTTTTTGTATTGCATTGGTATCTACATCTTCTCATTCCCATTTTATATTTAGAGATATCGGTTCAAATCGATAAGGTTAATAAATAGCTCTCACAGGTAATCAAACTTGAGACATCGATGTTACCAAATCAATTATCGGACCAACTTGGGTGTAAGTACCTCAAGTCGCCTCAACTGCTACCCGAATATGCATTTTGAGTAAAGTCTACCTTGTGACCCTAGCTAACAAATGACACAATTAAGTAAAGTAATTTAGGTTATTCATAATTGACCGGCTCAAACCAAAAAGACCAATAAACAGCTCTCATAGAAAGTCAAACTTAAAAATTTATAATTACTAAGTCAACTGTCTGACCAACTTAATAAAGATCTCCCAACTCGTGGTACTTTGCCCACAAAAAGTGAAATCCCTTGTTGCAAGGGCTAAACACTCTGATTCGACATGATTGTGGATGGGTGATAGGATATATCCGCCACTCGCAATACGGTAGACCTGCTCGGTATGTACATCGTATGCCACCCAAACCTCACCCCGAGTAAGGCCGACCTCGTTAGGGTCCAACCCGACCCCGAGTAAGCACCAAGAATAGTCACCAAGACTTCTAGGTTATTTATTGCACTCGGTCCTCAAATATTGACCTGGTAAGGTCAAAACGACTACACTGACCCCGTAGCCTTCAACGCTTCAAGGACTTAATCTAGACCAACCACCTTACCCGATCACCTTTTAATAATACAAGGATCAGGAATCTCAACACTCGCAAACCAATTGGGACCCCCCTCATTCTAAGCTGCACGCATGCGGGATATGTAGCCAACATGCTGAGTCTCCCTGCATGTGTCCCATCCAACTCTCTATATAAGGCGTATTTAGTGCCTTGATGAGGGACTTTTGTACTCTCTTACTAATTTGTCACATAAACATTAATTGAGCTACTCCTCCGGCCAAGTCGTGGTACTTTTTACCTACCACGAACAAGGTCTTATCGACACAATTAACAAATCATGAATTTCAAGAGGCAGTAGTATGAGTATGGCCCAAACCTAATACGTGCCGGGCGTACGGCCACCGTCCTGCCATTAAAAAATTCTACATACAACACTACAATGGCGAGGCAAAAAAGGACAATGGTAGGGGCCGGGAGGGAGCAGTTTCATTTCATGGCAGAATTTGATTCAGTGAAGAAATCGCTGTGGATTGTGGAATGCCATTTTCCAGGGCTGCCAAACCCAACAGGATAAAGTAGGCAGGCAGCCCAGAATATGATGTGTAGATTCCACTTCACCCCTCCACTAACAACGAGAGAAGACTTCCGGGGCAACAATTCTTCAATGAAATCATCACTTTCGAGACTTCGCACGCACGCACAGGGGGAAAAATTAAAGCTGGATGGGGACAAAACCAGAATGTTGGGTCCAAATCCCAGAATTCCAAGTAATCTTCCATACCCATTTTGTCAGGCTATGAACAATTACAGGTGCCATAATCCCCTGGATTTTCCGTAATCCATCGCTATCTCTGTCCTTTTCTCGGCAAATTTGTAGGCTAAAGCAATATCCCTAGATGGAAAATTGGAGTTAGGCGATAATTACAACTAGAATAAGGTGTAAAACAAATAGATAGAAAATTATATGGTTCAATGTATCATTATTGTGTGAGTTCTTTCCACACGTTTGCTCACTTACTTTTAGTTATTTTCTGACTAAATATCACTTGTAACTTTTTCTTATGAATTATCACTCACTTAACGAAATTTTCAGTAAAATATAGGTCTTTCTTATGATCTTTTCGATCAAATGTTACTCGCTTTCGCAATTTTTTTGTCAAATATCACTTGTTTATAAGTTGTTCTTACAAATTTTCCGGTCAGATATCACTTGTTTGTAAGTTTTCTAGTGAATTCTCTGGCCAATGTTATCGGCTTGTTAGTCTTTATAGCAATTTTCTCTTTAAATATCACTTAAAACAAGTATGTTGTGCTGAAATGACTAAAAGTGATTAGAAATTCGATAATAATGGATACAAATTATAAATGAAAATGTCATAAAAGTGGAGAAATTGAACATAATCATAGGATTTGTGTAAAAAATGTACCAGAGGGAAGAAGTGGCTGTGGAATTTTCTGGTGATCATTCATACAGTCACATGTGGTATGATAAAGTTGTCCCTCGTTGACTCATAAACTCCGCTATGGATTGTGACCTTCACGGCCCTTCTCCATCATCTTGCCTTGTCAATCAGTCACCTTTTTTAGTTTTTTTCCCTCCCTTGTGTGCTTTCAAAGCCCATTCTCTGCTTTCAATGCTTCCCATCTCCTTATTACACACTTCTCAAGTGCCCTTTTCTCTATTCACAGAATCTTGATTGTCTGTGTGTGTGTGTGGATGGCAAGAATTCTTGTTAGCTTCTGGGAATTTGGTCTGTTTAGCTGATTTGGGGTTCAAAATCTGGGCTTTTTGGGGACCTGGCATAATGGTATCCAAGCATTAAGTTGCCATGCCAGGCTATCTTGATCATGGATGGCAAGTTGGTGAATTTATTGATGATGGGCCCTGCAATTTCTGGCTTTCCATGCTTTGTTCCACGTGGTTCTTGCCCTCTTCACCCTCCATTCTTGAAAGCTCCTTCTTCTCTTTCTTCACATCAATGACATGAACATGAACATATACATAAACTCAGCCTAATAAGGCTCTCTTTCTTTGTTGGTGAAAAGCTAGCAAATGGCTTCCCACTGGGGCTGTACAGTCCAAAACCACCCTATGTTTTCTGTGCTCTTGATGTGTTTGATGATAAGCCTTGCAGAGTCTGTGAATGAAGAGGGAGCCATTCTTTTGGAGTTCAGAAGATCACTTTCAGACCCAAGCAACAATCTCCATTGGAACTCTTCTGACTTGAATCCATGTGGGTGGAATGGTGTTGCCTGCAATGATGATCATCAGGTAACTTCTGTATACCTCACTGGGCTCAATCTTTCTGGCACTTTATCTTCAACCATTTGTGACCTTCCTGCCTTGGTAGAGTTCAACATCTCAAAGAACTTCATTTCTGGTTATATTCCTGGTTTTGTGCACTGTAAAAATCTTGAGGTTTTAGACCTTTGCACCAATAGGTTCCATGATGAATTCCCTTCTCAGCTCTCTTATCTCACCTCTCTTAGGGAGCTTTATCTGTGTGAGAATTATATCAATGGAGAAATCCCTGAGGAAATCGGGAACTTGAGTTTTCTAGAGGAGCTTGTAATTTACAGTAATAATATTACTGGGAGGATTCCATCATCCATAAGTAGACTGAAAAGGCTTAGGATTATCAGGGCGGGTCGAAATTATTTATCAGGTCCAATTCCTGCAGAAATGAGTGAATGTGAGAGTTTGCAGATCCTTGGTCTAGCAGAGAATAAGCTAGAGGGTTCTTTTCCTTCAGACCTTCAAAGGCTTAAGAATCTAACTCACTTGATCCTCTGGGCAAATCTTTTGTCAGGAGTAATTCCTCCCGAAATAGGTAATTTCAGTAGCTTGGAATTACTTGCCCTGCATCAAAACTTCTTCATTGGACCCCTTCCAAGAGAGTTTGGAAAGTTAACAGAGCTAAAGAGACTCTACATTTACACCAATAAGTTGAACGGGACTATTCCGTGGGAGCTAGGGAATTGTTCTAGTTTGGTTGAGATTGATTTTTCGGAAAATCTTTTGGTTGGGGTTATTCCAAACACATTGGGTCGGATTTCTAATCTTAGATTGCTTCATCTGTTTGAAAACCGCTTACATGGAAATATTCCAAGGGCGCTAGGACAGTTGAAGCGGCTCCAGAAGTTGGATTTATCCATAAATAACTTCACTGGTAGGATCCCCTTGGAGTTTCAAAACCTTCCATTCTTGGAGAATCTGCAACTCTTTGACAACAATCTTGAGGGCAGTATCCCCCCATTACTTGGGATGAAAAGCAAGCTCGCTATCCTTGACCTGTCGAAGAATAATCTCATAGGAGGCATTCCTTCAAGGCTTTGCGGGTTCCAGAAATTGAGTTTTCTAAGCCTTGGCTCGAATCATTTATCTGGAAACATTCCTTATGGCCTAAAAACTTGCAAGTCCCTCGAACAGATGATGTTAGGAGACAACTTGCTCACCGGGGCTCTTTCTGTTGAGTTGTGCAAACTTCAGAACCTCTCGGCTCTTGAGCTGTATCAAAACCGGTTTACTGGACTGATACCCCCTGAAATAGGATATCTCGGAAAATTAGAGAGGTTGCTTTTGTCAGATAACTTCTTTTTTGGGCATATCCCCCGTGAAATTGGGAAACTCACGAAGCTTGTTTCTTTCAATGTCTCCTCAAACCGGTTGTCTGGGGATATACCCCACGAGTTGGGGGATTGTATTAAGCTTCAGAGGCTTGATCTCAGTAAGAACTGGTTCACTGGAAACCTCCCCGATAAACTTGGCATGTTAGTGAATCTGGAACTGCTT